TATCTATCTATCTATCTATCATCTATCTATCTATCTATCTATCTATCTATCTATCTATCTATCTATCTATCTATCTATCTATCTATCTATCATCACCTATCTGAAACAGCTTCAGAAAATTCGTACAGTCTTAAAAGTGCTGAAGTAGTTATTCTTTGATTGCATTTGACTGCTATCATAGTAACATTTGTAGAACAATGTGGAACTAAAAGAATTTGTCCCTGTACAATTAGCCTGCTTGCTTCTTTTAGCTATCTGATGCAGATCTTAACTCAAAAGATGTCTATGGAGATTCTCAGTCATCTAGGCCATGGGTGAAGACAGAAGAGTCCATATTTTGGGCAGAGAAGACAGCTGGTTTGAAAGACCGTTGGTTGACAAAGCGGTCATCTATGTCACAATTGAACAGACCTCTCTAAACTGAGGGGGAGGAATACGACATCATCTATCGCCAATCTACAACAGTTGGAAACAATTCCAAGAAGGCTCCATACCCACCTGTATCATCAGGTGGCCCTGATGACACAGATAAATCTCCAGGTGACCTTAATGACTCACTAAAAATGCAAATGACCAGCTGTCTGCAAGGCGTATAAATCCTTCCATTCCCCATCATTCAGTCACAGCTGAAGAAGCTTCTTGGATGAGAAGCGAAACATGTTCAAAGAAAAACCAGACAGTCCAGTTGCCTCTTGAAAAAGCACCTTTGTTAGCTCAAATATATATTTTTTCTCACACTTATTGTGAATTCAACCAGCTACAACCATGGGATTTTATGAAAACCATCAAAAAGAATTGTCTGCCTGCAAATGTCCAAAGATGGTAGCAGAAATACACATTTGTTAACAATTACATCCCATAACTTGACTACCTGCAGAGCACCGTTCTTGCTGAAGGATGAAACACACTGCATTAGTCTGCTGAGTTCTTCGGCAACTGCTTCAACAATCCTCGACAAAACTCTGGGTACGAGCTCCTTTGAGATAGTGAATACCTGCAGATTTCAAATGAAACACAATGTAAAATTTTGTGCATATATATATAGGCATACCAGGGGTTGTGACACTAAATACACACCTATTTCCCTGGCTCAGCTGATAAAGGAGGAGAACCTTGTGGCTTAGTGGTTAACACAACTGCCTAATATGTAATACAGCCCAGGTTTGAATCTCAGTAAGGGTATGGCTAGTTGATGAGAGCTAAATAGCTTGAAATAGATCTATACTAGTCTCCCTTTATTTATTTATCAGCTCAAATACAACACAAACGTAACAAAGGCTTCTGTCTGGATGGTCTCTTGTGATGAGCCGATAGACAGAGAAAGGAAGCAGTATGCCTCCTCCCATATTTAGCCATACCAGGGGTTGTGACACTATATATATATATGTATATATATTGTATTGTTGTATTTGTGCTGATAAATAAATAAAGGGAGACTAGTATAGATCTATTTTAACCTATTTAGCTCTCATATGTATATGTATATGTGTATATTCCTACCTATAATTGCTATCAGAACAGCTTTAAAAAGATAGGCTTTATGACTTAGAACCCCTTTCCTGACAAAGTTTTGGAGAAATCTAAAGCTTGCACATACTTATATGCCTTCAATTGGTTTTTCTTAAAAGCACTGTTCTGCTGTGGATTTTAAAATTGGTTTCCCATGGACAAATCAGACACCATTATTTTCTATCTTACTTAATCTTTAAAAGGAAAAAGCTGGCACAGAATGGAAAAAAAATCAATTAAAAATGCAGGAATATGCAACAAAAAAGATTTGTCTCTTATTTATCTCTACTATATTCTAAAATAGGTTTTCTAAATCTCAACAACTTTAAGATGTGTGGTTTTAACTCTCAGAATTCCCATTGGCTGGGAAATACTGGGAGTTGAAGTCCACACATCTTAAGGTTACTGAGGTTGAGAAAAATTGTTCTAAAAGATAGCTGCTGTATTGGTGAAGATGAAACAAGGGGTCATAACTACCAATGGAAGACCTTTCTTCAGTTCAATCAATTATCTTTTGTGTAACATTTTTGAATCTATTTTTTGGCAAAGGACACATATTGTTTTGGCATTCATTGTGGATAAGTTGCATTAACCTCACCTCAGCATGTACAGCGATTATGTGTACTAAAGCTTCCTTTAAATAGTTTCTGACACCTGTAAATAAAAAAGGACATAGACAAACACAAAAAAAGTTGTTCAATATATTTGTACCATGCTGGCCTCTTTGATTAAAAATGCAAAATTAGTATCAGCATATAGAAAGTGAAAGCTTCTTCCAACCACACCACCACATTTATTTCCTTTTTGAAAACAAAATGGGGAAAGGCACATTTCCTTATTGTAAACATTACTAGCCATGGGTTCCTAGTCTCGTCTGGCATTATTTTCCCTTCCTTCTTTAAAACACTTTGTGTATGTCTGTGTGTATGAATATTCAATAATAGAGAGCTTTGATTCTAATGACTTCATTGTCACAATCATGGAGTACACAACCACAAGGCAGCTACAACTGGTTGTGAGTTTATTTTATGAGATGGATTTCTACCAATAAAAGACACACAGATTTCAATAAGATGGAACCCTTGGTAGTATTTAAATAGTTTGTGCAGTTAAAATATCTAACTGAGAAAGAATGAGGACATCATTTTAAAATATTTCCATTTGGAATAACTAGAAACTTGTAGTGCAATTAATTTTGGACTGCATTCAAAGAACAGTCCAGTATGTTATTTGAGACAATGCCACCATTTAAAAACAAAACAAAAACCATGACAGCCACTGCAAAGATCCCAAGTGCTGCTACCTCTAATCAACTTTTAAGAAAACAAGCATGTACAAAACAGTTCCTGCATATCAACCTACTACAGCACAAGAACATTTAACTAAATGAAACCTTGAATTCTGAAAATAATCTGCTACACTAAGTTACACTGAGGACAGTGGTGGGATTCAGCCAGTTCGCACCTATTCAGGAGAACCGGTTGGTAGCTTTCTAACTAGTTTTCAATTTCAATTTTAATGGATTTGTATGCCGCCCAATCACAAAGGACTCCGTGCGGCTTACATAAAAACAGTTAAAAAATATTAAAAGAATTTTAAAAATNTGTGTGTGTGTGTGTGTGTGTGTATTTTCCTTCTCAAAATTAACAGGAAGCCTCTACTAATTTTTTATATATGATTAGAAGTAGTTTCAGAGGTCATGAACATTATATTGGTAATCTCAATTAATCCATGTTTACATTAAGGCATTTTATGAAGGGCTTTTTCATTTGGAAAATATTTTTATGATTTTTATAAAAAAAAGTTGTAATTGATTCTGTCACATTTTTTTTCTTACTTGCTTTCAGAGGTGAGGAATACGGACACTGAATCTCTCAAGGCACAAATTTCAAGTCGAGCCTGAAGGACAGAAATATTTCAGGGTTACATCTTCAGCATCTGATTTTACAATATTTAGGATCTGCTAAACAAATTTTAGGGATAGTTTTATAGCAGCAAGCACAAATAAGAGGCCTTAACTTCTAAACAAAAGTTGCTTTATCATCCTCATTTAACAAATGTAAGGACAATTATAGATTTGGACATTCAGATATCAATCGAAGTCAATCTGAATATTATATAGTTTCCATATTTAGAATATGTTTGTACCTTTTTTTTTACCCCGAAATGATATGGGTTCTTAATATATCATTTACCAAAGAGGAAGGAAGTTCAAGAGAGTGAAATCTGCATTTTTTTTTCATGCAGAGGGAGGGGAACTGTGTTTATATATTATTATGCATGAATGAAGCCTAAAGAGAAGCAGAAAGATTTGTCCCTCTGTGTCCCCCGTCCCCTCCCAATTACAACAGCCTTCCCTAACGTTACATTGATACTAAAATGCCCAGAGGCTATTAATTAGGCCAGGGAAAATGGCAGTGGGGAAAAACTTAACATTCCTCACTTTTCAGGTGAGTGATTTTAAAGCGCATCTATACAGATTACCCATTTCATTTTACTTTGATGTAATGGGTTTTGAAAGTAAATTCAAATCCAAAAGTTTAACCATCCAATTTCAAAAGATGTGCTCTTTGGAAAAAAGTTGTCTTAGGTTTTTGACTCATGGATGGAATAAACTGCCATACGAGTCATTCCTTGGATTAAGAAGAGTCTGTTTTTTNCCCATCGACCTGAGTGACCTTGAGTTGGCCACGCCCAGCCAGTCACATGACCACCGAGCCCCACCTACCCAGATAGTCATTAGAGCAGAGAACCGGTTGTTAAATTATTTGAATCCCACCACTGACTGAAGAATATATTATGTGTAAATGTCTGTCCAAAGCAAATTGTTGCAGAAGGTAAACTGTACATGATAATTTTCATTTGACTATTTATTAATGAAACCCTATCATATTTGATAGGCATGAGAAATGGGACCGAGTTGCCGCTAGGAAAGACCAGCAAAAACAGTGACTAGTTCAAGAAAAATAAAATCATCCATTTGCAGGCATTTGTCTCTGCCCCTTCAAAAAAGATACACAGAGCTACACAGATAGAGTTACCCATGCATTTCAAATAGGAGTGCAAACTTCCAGTTTAAGGCCAGTGACATAAATATTCTACCTGAATGCATGCTTCTATGGTTTCTATTTCTTCATTATTTTGCCAGTATTCTACAGGTCAGCGATGGTTTATAAAAACCATAAACCTCTAAGACAGTCATAGCTACCACATGATACCATGGCATTCAAGAGAACTGTCCCCACCCACGTATACCTCCTGACTCACTTAGTAAAAAGGGCAGAGCTCGATCTTGGAAATTCCCCAGGGACGCACAGAATATGCTGTCTGGCATTCAGCAGACATGATTACCTCACTGAGCAACTGGATAAAAGGAAGGAATTATGAAGTCTAGCAGGATATATGTTCCTATTGCGTTGCTTAGAGCAGTGTTTCTCAACCTTGGCCACTTGAAGATGTCTGGACTTCAACTCCCAGAATTCCCCAGCTGGCTGGGGAATTCTGGGAATTGAAGTCCAGACATCTTCAAGTGGCCAAGGTTGAGAAACACTGGCTTAAAGAGAGGAAGAACAGCTCCCCCCCCACCTCCTTCTAACAGTAGCCATCTTGCGATCTTTGGAAAGCCACGGGGACAAATTTACCGGTTAAAATACACGCATTCATAAAATCATTAACAGCATGAGAAAAATATCTGATCGTGGTCTTTAATTAAAATTATATGCTACCAAAGTATCCATCGGCAGTTGGATTTGTTCAGCAAATGATGAGGCCATTGAGAACTGTGATTAGAGAAAAGGCAAGTCAAATCCCCTTGGTGGGTTGGGGGATCTGGAGAAGGGGCCAGCTCGAAATAATTTTTGGAAACTGAAATCTAAGAATCCAAATGTTTCCTTTGACCAGATGGTTCGAAGGAGGGATAAGGTGGCCCACTTGATCATCTAGGACAGTGGTTCCCAAACTTGGCAACTTTAAGACTTGTGGACTTCAACTCCCAGAATTCTCCAGCCAGCAGAGCAGAGCTGGCTGGAGAATTCTAGGAGTTGAAGTCCACAAGTCTTAAAGTTGCCAAGTTTGGGAACCACTGATCTAGGATTTAACCTCCCTTGAAGCGCTGCTCCACCTCGACAAGACAAAAATGCCTCTTGGAGGAAAGAGCATTCAATCTCACAGAAGCACTGAAGCGGAGTGGATCTGCCACAGTCAGCTGCTTCATTTTGGTGGAAAGTGCTTTCTGCAATGCTTGTGCCAAGAGGCCATTTTTGTCTAGTACTCGTGGTCAAACCACGGTCGCTAAAAGGCTACTTGCAAAGATGTTTCACAACCCTGCGAGGCTATTTTATAGGAACGGTATTAGTGGTTATGCCCTGGCAGGTTGCTAAACGGATCGAGAGGAGCAAGACAGCAAAAGTCTTTCTTAAGCGTTCGAAGCCCAGGAAGGCATGAAAATGGTGACTAATCTGCCTAGAAAAAGGTCTGTTTCAAATAATGTGGTTTTGGCATAAATCTATTCATGCTGAAAACAGGAGAACAAATGAAATAAAAAGCGGAGTCCTGCATTTAGATATAAGTGTACATGAAACAGAAATAGTTCTAAAAATCATAATACTAATCTTTCTATCTGGGAAGATTTTTTCGTGCTGCCATTAGAAGAACTGGGAAGAGCCTCTTTGCAATGTTCTAAAAAGTTCCACGGTGCTCTTTCTTAAAGCTCTTTTGCTCCCCTCAAATCACACTTGGATGGTAAAATCTGGGTGCATTCATGTCTTTAAAAATGTAACTTAAAAGCAAGCCATCTCTTCAAGTCTTGTCTAATTAGGACCCCCCTTTCCCCCTTTATAAGCAATTGCAAAAAGAGTGTAAAAATTAACAACTGAAAATTGTACGAGCGGTCTTATTGGTATAAAGTGACTTATACTGTGCTGAACTCCACTCATGAACACAGATGATGAAGCCGAAGCTTGTTAAATCAAATCTGCGGAATTAGGAATGTGCAAACCAGGATTAGTAAATATGCACCTCCTGAACCATGATGAAAGATCGAAGGGACTTTTGATGCTTATAGGAACCTGAGCAGCTAATATGTGGAATACATGTGTCAGAGAGAGCAGAAATTAAAGCCACATTTATTTCCACTGAAGTCACACTTAATTCTGTGAAATGCCCTACAATTGAATGCTGTTTCAATGGGAAGTGAAAGAGGAAGCTCTTTATCGAATCTAAGCCAGCACTGCTAATCTCATTTACATTGCCCTGTCCAACACCACCTTATGAAAAAATCCAAAGGAGTTTTTTAAAAAAACAAAACAGAGCAGTTATTTGTAATAACCAACATTTATCAGTTAGCAGGCAGATTAATTTCCATTTGTGCTTAAAAGTCCTTGACTACAATATAAGAAGCAACTTCTTAAGATAGTGATTTTATTCTTTAAAGAATACTGTCAGAGAGACAAAAAAATTATCAGCCTGCACAATCCAAATTAATTTGTACAGGAAATCTTGTATTGCAATTTAAAATTTAAAACTTCAGAAATGTGTTAAGTTTGTAGGAAGAAAATAGGGCTTACTTAAAGCAGAGCAAAAAAAAACACAATTGCTGGAAGTGATGATCATCTGCATGTAAGAAGCTCATTTCTTTCTCTTACTCTCTGTGAGTAATTTCCTGCTTTTATTGGAAACCTTCCACCACCTAATCATAGAAGGATCTGAAGATGTGATCAATTTTGCTTCGATGTTGTTGTCAGAAGAAAACGTGAACTGTGTAGGCAAGTTCTGGAAAGTCTTCATAAGGACAGCCCACCTATAATAACATTTCCTGTTTTTAACCCCTTCATTCTGCACAAGCTCTACCTGCCTGACAAAAATAACTTTCAGAAAGCAGGTTATTTATATCTCAGGGTTTTCCCCTCCTTTATATGTTAAAAATAAAATGGTTAGAAAGACATACTATTTTCTATATATGCAGAGTGCTGACTACTGGAATATCAGATGTAGCTTACAAATCAAATCTAAAATCAAAATTAATTCAAATATTCATTTTTGCTTGGAAAAAATGTTAACGCTAACAATGAGACAATTTTTCTCAATTAAATGGGGGAGCGGTGTGGGACCGGTAATGGCTGTAAAGAATGAGTGACTAAGCTTTCAGCGGATGACTAAACTTGGTACAGATAATCTCAATATAGTTGGAGGCAGTTCCTCAGTTATTCCAGACTTCTAAGGAAAAATCTGAGAAATACAGAATAATTTTAATTTATACCTTTGCTCTGCGTAAATGTGATTTATTATTATTATACCAATTTCTTCAATAAACCAAATAGTTTAAATATAATGTATGTCCATAAACCTGCGGGTGCCCTAATAATGGCCTGTCACTGTCTTTGCGAGATGAAATGACAGCTATTTTGAAATGAAAAATGGACTTGAAGATATGTAGGGTTTTATGAATTTATTTTGTTTGTCACTCAAACTTTATGAGTACTTATCCTGAAGCTTTTAAGGAAAATGCAAAAGGGAATCCGCTGGTTTGAGAAAGGCTTACATGGACAAAAATACCTGGAATGCCACAGAGATAATAGAAGCCCAATTATCTTAAATATATATTCTAATTTTCACATAAAATGCCAAATTGTTGGACAAAGATATAGGCAGCGTACTGTATAACCAACCATAAATACCTGAATCATTTACTAACTAATCTTCTCTCTCTGCATAATAATTATTTGCTTTATCCTTCAAACTAATCATAAACAAGATAGTCAGATGACTGTGTGCTTATTAAGTAACAGTTAAAGAACTGCTCATCTTCATTTAATGAATGACAACTAAGACCAGATATAAACTCCCGCTCCCATAAATAATTACTAGTCAGAGCGCCAATCGGGCCATTCAATGCTTCCATCTTTCTCTACAGCGCAGCGTAGTAATTTACATATAACAAACCCCAAAACAAGAGGGAAATAATTAAACCACTTGATTAGAGTTGGTCAGTGTTTCAATTTGTAATCATGGGATTTTTTAAAATGATACTTTGTCAACAAAAGTGTGTGTGTATAGTCAAGGCGATGGTTTTCCCAGTTGCAATGGATGGCTGTGAAAGTTGGACCATAAGAAAGGCTGGGCACCAAAGAATGG